CCCCCCCCCCCCGAGGCGACCCGTGTGTGTGCCAATGCTTGCGTATGCATGTAGTCTACATGCTGCATAGCAAAGTCAGTCGCAGCTTTCACTCTTCCAGTTTTTTTCCCTTCCCAAATAGCGCCGAGTGGTGGAACCAGTCTTCGTGATCGCCTTGCTCTCCACCGCTATGCCTATATACTGCCAGGCAGGACACAACCACGACGTCCGCCGCACTCACCTGTCCTATGTATCGCTCGTGGGCCCGTGCGTCGACTCGAAGCTCGAAGATTTCGGATTCTTGCTGCGGAGAGTAGAGACAGTGAGAGAGAGTCAGAAAGAGGCACACAGGTAGTTTTTTCTGACGCTATGATTCCATTTATTTTCATTTATTTATTTATTTTTGCCTTCCGACCATTGCAGATGCACCTCAGAAAAATTTCACTTAATGTCTCATACTCTACATGAATATTAAAATACGAAGTACAACAACATATGTAGGACTTATTTCTACTGTCATTTACATTGTAAAAGTATCTCCTCTTCAACTTACCAATGACAATCCTGATGGTATCCTATATGCGTTCGTAAGCTTGCTAAAATACTACTGCGTTGATGTCCGCTCATTGTTAATCTGTCTCTGACTCTTTTCTATGATAGAGATGGACTCGTTGTGTCATATTAAGAAAAAATAAAAAAAAATGAGGGAGACTGAGAGAGAGGGGGAGAGAGAGAGAGAGGGAGAGAGAGAGCGAGAGAGAGAGAGAGAGAGAGAGAGAGAGAAGCACGGTCCCCTGCTGTTCTTCCCCTTTCTGTGCAGGCACAGACCTCCGTATATGACACAAGATCACACACCCCCTGGACCGATATTCAAAGCTCGATTACTCCACGAAGAAGAGGATGCATGAAAGAAATGATACATTTTCGAAAAGCTCTTGACAAGAAGATTTCAACGCCGCCGTTTTCGGCGCTGTGACTGTTCCTGCAGTTGAGAAACCGAGCTTCGCAAATCGGTTAAGGGGGAGTGTTATCTTAAGTCATACACGGTATCCACATGTGCATTCTTCCCGACCGTGATTGTCCAAGGAAACTTACTGGAAAGAAAATAAATAACTTCCGTGGTTTCAAAGGATAAGAAAGATACGTCACTCCTTTGCAGCTCGTCAAGTCAGTCTTGGTCCGCAGGCGAAACTTTCACGTGGAAACTTTGCATTTATGTTTGCTCAAGAATTCTGGATTGTTTTTTCTGCAGGCAACCAAAGAAAAACCAAGACACATGAAACAAATTGGGAGCGCAGGTAAAATGCCGTCTTGCTCACAACGTTTACTTATCGGACCAACCCGTTGCAAACTTCCCAAGATTGCCCTACTATCATTACTATTGTTTCGGCCTCTGGCCTCAACATATCTCACTCATAATAAGCTACNCCAAGGTACCCTACCCTGTGGACGGCAGAAGGGTGAACCAGCTGCAGCGTCTACAATGGACACCCTGCCAGGGTCCACCCTGCCAGGGTGGCCCGAACCGCACCCTGTAAGCAAACTGCGCACCCTGCCAGGGTGGCCCGAACCGCACCCTGCAAGCAAACTGCGGCAGCCATTTTGGGTGGTGTGCTGTGTGCGCTGTGTGTTTTGCGCGTCCCTCGTTTTTTTTTTTTTGAGCAGATTTGAGCGTACGCCTGCGGGTAAGTGGACACAAGTGGGTACATTTTTTTTTTTTTCTTTATCACGCAACAAATCCATCTCCATCTATGGAAATAAGTCTATCTTGTTTCCCCGCGGCGTCGAATGTGCCGGGTTTTAGCCCGTTTTTTGTGGACTATAGCTTCCGAAACGGCTGATGTTCGGCGAGTTGGTGGGAGGGGAGAACCCGGGCCGGGGAAGCCCGAAGCAGAACTGGCTGATATGCCTGAAGGACGACCTGAAGNGTCCGTCAACGGCGCCTGCTCTTTGCGGGGGCCGTGGCAAGACAGCCAGACGGGCGGCTTCCGAAACGGCTGATGTTCGGCGAGTTGGTGGGAGGGGAGAACCCGGGCCGGGGAAGCCCGGAGCAGAACTGGCTGATATGCCTGAAGGACGACCTGAAGATGTTCGAAGCCAGACAAGGGTTTATGCCCGACAAGCGGAGCTTCTTCGGAATCCCGAAGCCAGACTGGGACGAGGCGGCGAAGGTGGAGGGGGGGGTACCGTGGCACGCGGGGGTGCTACAG